ATGTGTTTACATTAACAGTTAATGAAAGTCAAATATGTGTCAAATATTTAATCTAAAATCTAAAGCAACTTAAACTTAATTCATATAATTATCAGATTAATATTTGCCCCGCAAAAATTTATACATCTGAATAAATATTCTAACTTTAAAAGGACCTTAAAGCACAAAGTTGAAAAACATACTTAGAAGCAGCTGCAGTACTTCTTCAAATAAGTGATGCACACAAGATGTGTGATGAAGCAAAAATTTAAAGAATGACAAAAACTCAAAATAGGCCAACTAAAGCATAAATAATAGTAATTAAGTTAAGTATCTTACGAGTGTGTTGCTAGCATCCGTAGAAGGAGTAAAGCATAGAAAATGATGACAGGACAATTAAATTTTCACACGCAAACACATGCGACCACAGAAGGAGCCTCACACCAACCGGCAAGCCTACATACTGGATACGAACCCACTGAGCTGACATAAAGATACGCGTCTTGCAAATGCTGTTTACTATATCAAAGTGAGCTTGACATAGTTTGACGTTTGCTACTTTATCTTTTGTGCTGATATTATAACATTGTTTCTGTGATGCTTAAGATACACGCCAGTATCTGCAGGATTACAGTGATTTGAGTTGCAAGTTGTAAAAGTGAATGGAACTGATATGCAGGAATGGAAAAGTGCTTAGTGTTAGTGCCTACACTTATCTCATGATAGAGTTTGATTACAAGTGGCAGTGGTAAGAGCGAACCACTTGAATTAAGTGCGTTTAAAAAACTTAGTGCACACAATCTCGAAGCATGTTTGCACTGCAACAACTTCAACAGGCTTCAATGGTTGACTTTGCATAATATTCGATAAGTATAGTGAAGTATAGTGAAAAGTGTCAATTGGTATGAAACCATAAGATTTCGTATCAAGTGAGTATTATATTCGCCTTAAACATTTTTAAAGAAAATATTTTTTAATCAAATGTCAAGCGAAACAACATCATAACAACAAATCAAGCGTAAACACAGTCAAGATAATAAAAATCGAATTTTAATACATATAAAAGTTTAAAAAAACTTTTCTTTTATTACCAATGAGATTTGCGGCTTAATTTGTGGTGGGTTAATATTATTTAATAACAATTTAGTTTAAACATTAATGATGTGAGCTATCATATAGCAAACGCCAACATAAAAAACTTGCAGCTTTACTAATAGAAGCAAATCAAGGGGCATTGAAACCACTGATAGCATTGCAAAGCCATTGAATTTTATTATTATCTTGAAAGAAATTTTCCAATACAACGCATATTTTCCTTTACGACTTTTATTAATAAAATTTTATCCTATATATTTTTATATATTATTTTTTTATTTTTTAATATGTTTCCTTAAGCATTGAATCATCATACGGCATTATTATCCTTTAATATCCTAGCTCGATGTAACAACATCAATTTGTGTGCATGATTTAATACGCATTTTCCGTTGTGTAGGCAAACAAGGGTCTATTTCGTCTACATCCTTTCTTCGGTAGACACTCCTTAGCATATTTATTTATTTATTATTTTTTCTGTTTCTCACATTTCTCAATTGTGCGCCCACTTCCACTTCTGCCGCCACTTTTCCCTTTTGTTCATTCAAGCGCGCGAATATAATGTGTTCCTAATAAGTTCTTTCTTATGAGATTTGTACGTTGGTGACGATATCGATGGCAAGACAGGCATATCCCAACTTGCCCGCTTATTGTCTGCTTAAGAAGTTGCCAAGATATGAAAAATCAAAAATAATTTATGATATAAAACAGTTGCAAAAAAGAAGTAAATATTTTTTATTTCTCAATAAAATTAAAAGTGGAGCCATTAAAAATAAATATTGAACATTGCAAAGCAGATATATAATGAATCTATGAGGAATCACAGAGACATTGACAACAAAGTAATCAAAAATAATATTTTTTTCTCAAAACTAATTAGCGTAAAAATATTGCCAATCAAAACAAATGAAAAACTGAATTCAACAAAATTATTTCAATTCATTTTAATTTTATTTTTATAATTTTTATTTTCATTTCATTTTCGCTTCAACAATTTTTGCAATTTTTTCAATTTTTTATTATATATTTTTATGATTTAAAGCGGAAAAGCTATTTTCAAGATAATGAACTTCTCTTAAAACCAAAGTAAATCTGAATTAAATGTAAAATTATAAGCGTAATTAAAATAAAATTGCACATCCTTACCCATAACAACACTATAAGCTTATTTTAGTTTTAAATATTTAATAAAATATCACAAATAAATTAAGTTAAATTATTGTGAATAATTGTTATCGAGATTATAATCGTAATATAGCTACTTAAACACAGATCAACAATACAAAAATTTAAATATTTTTAAACATGTTTTAACTTTGAAGTGGATTAAAATTTTGCGCAAGCCAAAAATTATGCTATAATTTAATTTTAAGGACATTCAATTTGTTTCCACGTAGAATTAATTCTTTAAAACAGAGCTGTCCAAAGCATAGCCTACGGGCCATTTTTAAGTTTAAAATATGGAATAAATTTAAAAGTGGATATATTTGTATAAAAATCCAAAGCAAAGTAAAAGTCGAAAGCGTGGCTCACGAGCCATTTTAAAGTTTAAAAATGGAATAAATTCAAAAGTAATCAATACAGATAACCTAGATCCTGAAAAATATTTCTGTGATGTCAAAATAGAACTTCAGTTAATGAAAATACCATAAAATAACTAATAACATGTAATTAAATACAAATTCAATACAGAAAATAATTTTCACTTAAACTCTTTAGTAAACAATGCATAGAATTAAGAAACTAGGATCTAAGAAATAAAAAATTAAAATTATTTCCTTACTAAGAATACGTATTGACTTGTGACTGTTTGATCTTAAGATGAATTTAGAGAAGGCTTCAAACTCATATTTGAATCTAAATGGAATTCTTCATTTTGAGTTAAAAGGTTATCAACAATTAAACTTAATTTTATTGGTTAGTATAGTTTAACAATGTAGATCCTCTAAATTGATACACAGAAGTAAATCAGACGTATCTAGGTTAATATCTGTCTTTACAGCGCACTGAACCATAGGACGGCATGGAGCTTGGCTCAGTCTACCCTGTAGTATCGCCTGCAATACGTATCTACCGGATCATGAAGAAATGACACCAGCACACCTGTTGTGCCTATGTCTAGGCTTTACCAGAACTAGGCTTAAGTTTTCGGAGTCTTCCTTCTTTAAAGGAGATATCAGCGATATATCCAGCATTAGCATTGGCCAAACTCTCGCCTTTATAAATAAATGTAACTAGTTCTAGCTTGATCTTCTGCTACCCATTATTGCGAGATTTTGTGGACTCAAAACGGCTTTCTTAGTTAATTGAGGATGATTCGTTCCTCCCTCCACTTCAACTAACTAAGGTTTTTATGTCATTCATTACCATAAATATCTCTTCTTTAAGTGAGATATCATCGATATCTCTAGCATTAGCATTGGCCAATCTTTTGCCTTTATAAATAAATCTGACCGGTTCTAGCTTAATCATCTTCTACCCATTATAACGAGGATTTTGGGACTTAAAACGGTTTTCTTAGTTAATTGAGGAGTATTCGTTCCTTCCTCCATTTCAAATAAAAAAATGCATTTAATATAAAAACATCTTCGTATAAAATATTTTGCTCTCCA